AGTCCCAGCCTGCTGCCGGAGGCAGCGCGCTTGTTGCTGAATTGCTCGTAAAAGTTCTGTTCATTCTGCTCTGCACTCCGCACAGCCCTGATTACGCAGGGAAATATGTGACGCCTCGAGTAACACTTTAAGAATTGATGTCACGTCCACATCTGTGTGTGCCTTATCCTTAGGTCAGTAATTCTTCGTGGCTTGCGGATAAGTTATATTCTGGCTCTCCATTGATGCCTCATTTGAACATGGACAATTTGAAGGGTGCAATCAAGAACGATCACCTACTATGACTGCATAATGATCTGATAGACAATCCACGTTCCAACCATTAGAAAATGTACTCTTTACTCAGGATGGCAATAAACTGTTTAACTATTTACTCTTACTTCGGTTTACTTTTGTAAGCGACAGTCTTGGTGACACTCAACAGCTCGTAGGACGCGGTAAATCACCCGGGGCTGACTCTAGATTAAACGTTCAAAGTCTCATTGTCCACGCAAAGTACATATACCCCGGGGAAGATATTGGAAAGAAGCTATATGTACAAGTACTTCAAAGTAGGTCCTTTTCGACTTGGAAGGAGGAACCTCGCTGTGCAGGCCAGAATACAGGTTGTTGTTGTTGTTGTTGTTGTTGTTGTTGTTGTTGTTGTTGTTGTTGTTGTTGTTGTTGTTGTTGTTGTTGTTGTTGTTGTTGTTGTTGTTGTTGTTGTTGTTGTTGTTGTTGTTTTTGTGGACTTTTATTTTACTTCACCGATTCCGCAGGCATGATCTGTCGTTCAGCGGGAGAGTACTTAACTAAATATTTTAAAAGCACTGACTGCGTATACTGCCTCACTGACAAAGACAGTCAGAGATCAGCTGCTGAGTATACAGAAGAGAGCACTTACAGGCAGAGGTATATTTGAGCATTACATACTCAGGCGAACATCATACAATGATACATGTAGTATGATGATACACAGTCTTGCTTGAGAGGTACCACATAATTGGCGTAGACACACGGTAACATACAAGCCCATATTATTCGTGTTCGGCTGCATCCACAATCGCTGCAGTTCACTTCTCTCTGATATGTTCTCCTTTCGCGGTGACTGCGCTCCCATAGATAAAGTCACCCGAGGCCAAGCCAATAATTCCTTCTTTATCCACTGTTAACACTCAAGCTGGATGCAAATGATTTATTATTATTATTATAATTATTATTATTCTCAATTCATGGATGACATGGTGTCAACCAATATTATGAATGAGGGCTACCAGCCATGGAATAAAAGAACAAGAAGGCAAAAATGCACACGCAAAATATGACACGTTAAATGAAAATGAAAATGAAATAAAAGTAAATCAATCCAAAACCAAAATCAATTATAAAAATCAATCCAAAACCCAAATGAATTGTACAGGTAGCATATATGATTTACTTTGGAGCTTGAAGTAATACACAAAGAGAATTGAAATCAATGATTAGTAAATGAAGATCGACGTATGTGTATATTTATCAAGCTTAAAAACGCATTGAGGGTGTTGCTGGACTTTAATTGCTGAGGAAGAGAATCCCATAATTGGTATGCTAGGAATACAGGCGATTTGCTCATAGAATTGTTTCTTGCAATCGGGAAACGAAGCGAGTTCCGGCTTGTTGAGGATTCATTGAACCAGTTAAAGGAATGCTGCACATGCTGAGGGGCAGTGATAAGTTTGATTTTGTGAATGTATACGCAGGAGGATCGGTCAATGTAATGTTTCAGAGGAAATGTACAGCAATTTTCATAGAGAACGGCTATGTTGGTCTCGGGCGGCAAACGAAGTATTGCCCGGAGAATCCGTCGATGCACAATCTCCAGCTTTGCAAAGAGGCCATTACCAGCGCCACACCACACCATACAGCAATACAAGAAAATAGGCAAAACGTATGTATGATAAAAGGTCTTTCGGCATTCTGGTGAAATGTGGGGGAGATGGCCATAAAAAATACCGACGACTGAGCTTGCCCGCTTTTCCAGATTCCGGAAATGGTGGGACCAGTCCAATTTGCTATCAAGTGTAACGCCAAGGTGCTTGTGACGAGAGGTTATAGGTATCGGGGTAGGATCATCGGGGAAATGGAAAATAAAAGTTTGAAGATGTGCAACATCTGATGACGCGTTGGGGACGACACACATGATCTCGGTCTTGGCGGAGTTCGGCCGGAGTTTCCACCTTCGCATCCACTTGACCACACAGTCTATTCCTACCTGCAGGTCTTGACACGCGACGGGGAGCGACCGGTGACTAGCCAACAGAGAGGTGTCGTCCGCATATAGCGAGGTGTTGGGAATTGCCGCGTGACCGATATCATTCACATATATTAGAAAAAGCAGGGGCCCCAGAATTGATCCCTGGGGGACACCAGAACACATGCGGTCAGGGTGGGACAATTGACCCGAGATACTCACTTGCTGTGAGCGACCACACAGGTAACTCTCCAGCCACCGCAGTATGCGTCCTTGAATCGAGAATGATGCTATCTTAGCCATCAGCCCACGGTGCCACACAGTATCAAAGGCTTTAGATAAATCGAAGAAGCATCAATTTCATTCTTTGATGCTGACCGCTTCATCGCCCTCCCCGAATCCCTTCGCACTAATCATATCCCCAATTCATTTCGCCTGGAAAATCACGCATACATTCCACTCGGTACCCTGTACGAAGACATTGGGATCTGTTAGGAATACCCAAGCAAAATAGAACATACAAACTGTCAAAACGGGTTTATTCAAACAATACGACATGGAAAGAAGGAAGAACACCAAAGATACAAGGGATGAAACTCGACGATGAAATCGAAATGAAAATTTGATAAAGTCTAATCCAAAGAAACTCAAGGCAGATGTAACAAGGTTGTGTAAAGCATACACACTGTACATTATCTTTACTTATAAAGAAGAGGCACCTGTGACGTGTGTTTGTCTGTGTGTCACGCTCAGGCCATGCTGCGGAGCAGCGCTGCCCTGAGCACGCGAAGCGTGCGAACAGTGTAGCTAGCGGCCGCAGAAGCACTGAGCTGAGCACGCGAAGCGTGCGAATCGTGTAGCTAGCGGAAGCAGCCACAGAAGCACTGAGCACGCGAAGCGTGCGAATCGTGTAGCCACCACCACGTGCTGAGCACGTGTGCTGTTCATGTACTTGCTTCACCCGCATGCCACGTTTGGCCAGGCAACGCTGGCCGGGGGTGCTGCTAGTACAATACAAAGGTGTCTACATTAGGCTAGTGACAAAGAAGGGAGTCGTGAAAGAGCTTTTTAACGATTTTCTGTTGACAAGTAAATTCTTTCAACGTTTTGGTCATCGTGGCCGTCAACAGAAATGAAGTGGATATGGAATTCCGGAAGTGGAGAGGTCATAAAGATGGGTTGCTGCATGCATGGGGATTGGGGGGGGGGGGGGGGGGGGGGGACTCTGTGCTAATGGCATTTCCAGCACAAAAAGTCACAGGTGGATAAGTGGTACAGTGTTCGATACTTGACATGTGTTCAAGTGGAGGGTGTTGAAAGTCAAGCAGTGTCGCCGCTGGCCCGCTGATGAGCAATATTATTTTCTGATGAGGCTGGAAGACAGCAAGATTAGCTTTTCGTCTCTTATCCCAGGGGAAATAACGACGGCTGATAACCCAGAATGATCCACCAGCAGCTGCAGCGCCCAATGGCGGGGCGGAGGGGTTGGTGGTGCATGGGAGGGTGGAGGGAGGGTACATACCATGTAGATCTCACAACTACTGTAGCATGTGAATGGTCGGAAGGAGGGACACAGGTCTATACTAGAAAATGGCGTCTCTCCTCTTCATTTTGTTGTAAGTTTTCGAGTGGGGTCACCATGCATGGCAAAAAGGTGCACTGAGGACTTTAGTGAGTGTCGATGTACGCATTCTGGTGTTTTGGCAAACAAAATTAATGGCCAAATAGGAAGGCACCTGAGCTAACAATCTCGTTCCCATCACTCTGCAAACTGCTGAATACTGCTTCCAAGAATAGTTTCATATCGATTCTAAGTTTCTAACAACGTTTCGGCACTGTTTCCATCCCGCAGTGCAATGTGCAAGTATGGCAAAGGAACAGCTATATGTATACGGCCAACAAGAGCAGAAAGCGTGTGCCAATGTGCCCTGTGTGTCCTGTGTGCCCGGTGCGTCCAAGTCCTTTGCCTTGCACTGAAATTTGGTGGCTTTATAACGACATTGGGCGCAGCGGCAAGTTTGCAGGGTTTCAAGTGTTTTTCAGAGTGCTGGGAACGAGCACGTCAGCTCAAATGCCTTTCTATTTTAAACGAAACTGCAAGAAGCCTCACCCTGATTTCTGAAGTGGTCAAAAAGAAAAAAAGGTCTGGTTTTCACTTTCTGGGTGGAGGATTCAGCATTCTTCATTGCTTGTGTCAAGCACAATATTTTTAAAAAGTAACGTTACAATTTCTTTTTACATTGATCACAGTCAAAGATACATGTAAAACGTGCATGATGAGGACATACATGTACTAGTGATGGTGAGGTGTGTGTTTCCTCAGCTGACCTGCTGTCTCGGCATCATGGGGACATGAAACGTACCACGCACTACATTCTATGTCGGGTAAAGCAGATAGTCGTAAGTCGTTATATTAATTATTATGGCCTTTGGTGTGCCCCTTTTTTCGAAGGTAGCAGACCTTAGACTGTACCCAGCTCTGATAGAGTCGTGCACGGAGCAACTACTCAAGGAACTTGACAGACACACCAGTGTCCATGTGCAATTTGATAGCTAAAGTGCATGCACGGTGAACTCGCAGTCGCCAAACCGGAAGTCAACGCTTGATTGCAATATTACCCCTATCATAAAAACTTAGATCTTTAAGCCCTAGGCTATTATTTTTTTAGCTTTCGGCTTAGTTAGACACAATTTTTTTAATAATTGGAGGCACCGTGTAGTTAGACGGGTTCCATGCCATTTCGACGCCCTCAAGTGCAAATGCCCACAGATGCACGCCAAAATTAATATCTTCAGGTCAGTGGTTGCGAATTCTGGATCCGCTTTTTTCGAATCGCACATGAACACAGCGGTATTTCTGTCTAGGTATTTGAGTAATTGCTGCGTGGACGAATGCCAGTTCTGCGTGCTTTCTATTTTACAAATTGCACATCAGTTAAAATACATGTGGAGTCAACATGTATCAAGAATATGATAAACTATAGTTTGGTACGTCTATCTGAAAGACTGATATACTCATAGTGCTCAACGATCATCATTATAGGATAAGCAGCAGCATTGGACAAGTTCGTGGTCGGCCGGAGAGCGCACTTGGCGGGGAAATCCGACTAAATAATTCAGCGACTTTAAGAAAATATTAAGTAAATGAAATGGTCAAGAAAATTTCTAATTTGAAAGACGTGTATAAATGTTTTTGGACTTGACAAGGGTGGCCTGGCCATGTAGCTGACCGCCTCCGGAAACAGAAGTTCATGTAAGAACTAAAGGTCTTTCTCAAGTGAACGACAGACAGGAGTACTAAGTGTTAACGGTGATCATTTCTTCAAACTGGAGAAAGTCAAACTCAATATTGAAAGTATTCCTGACTCGATCATTACAAGAGAAGCTTGATTATAGCAATAGAAGCTTGATTCTTTTGAAAATCACAACACACTGACAAGATATCTGATGAGAGCAACACTGTGCCTCGGCTATGCCATTACTTGAAGAATGTTCTGTACGATTCTGAAGACTAAATCTGGAGAGAATTGTGCTTTGACTTCACTGGTCAGTTCGCGTCAGAATGTTTGGTGAACCGTGTCCGAGAAGTATCTAGAGACGTGACATCAGCACATAGGTCAGAGAGAGAAAAGGAACGTCGTTCTAAGCTGGTGTATTCCGTTGCCGCCGAGTCCTGTCTGCAGGGTGACATGGAGGAAGCAACAAAGACAGAGCACACACCGTCACCTACTGCACTAGCTCCACATTCAAGATCCTCTACACGAGAAAGTATCAGACGCATTGCTCAATACCTGTTGGTATTCGGCTGCGCAACATGTACACGTGGCTTCATTTCACATTCATTTCTTATTGGCAGTCGTTTGATGAACCAGGAAATGTTGAGTAAATACAAATGCAAAATGTTACGAGTTATGACAAACTGACCACCAACGCAACCAGATCTTATACAGTCAGCGAGTGCGACAGTTTGTCATAACTCGTGACATTTTGTCCTTTTCCTTTCTTCATCATAACTATTATTGGCTCACCATCCGAGTTCAAAAATACAAAATACAAACGCTAGTGCAACGCATCGTCGCATGTGTATATGACCAGTTACCCCTAGGGTCCCCATACTGCAGAGCGAGGAGACCACAGTCAAACGATTTCATATAATAAGTATTGGGGAGTACCTAGTATACAGTGCCAGTGAATCCAGGACATGCACAATCAGTCATGTACATGTATAGGAAAAGAGTGACTGGCACATTCCACCTGGAAACAGAACTGATTTCGATGGAAGTGTGATATCTCTAATACGCTGATACTCTTGAGAAAGACAGATCGCAAAGACAGATCCTAGATTAAGGATGTTACTGGCAGGATGACAATTTTAAATGATGTCTACCTTTTCCATAATTGTGGCCGTTCTAGAAGAAGATAACCTTCATCGTCGCATGCTGGAGGTAGAGTTTTGATTGTGTCATGGTGTGATGTTGAAGCCAGCGGAGGAGAGCTGGTTCCATTGTTTCGGCGAGGCGGGAGTGGCGGTGCCTGACATCGACTGCATGCACAGTCGGGTAGAGATGTTGTTGAGCCAATGCTGCACGTCTCAGTCCTGGGTAAGAGGCGTGGCGGCGGCACGGGCTTCTCATCCTTTGAACAGCCTGTCACTAGGAAAGACTCGCCACGAATCCTCGGAAACGGATGGTGATCACCTTGGAGCAGAAGATAGCCATCTTGCTCCTCCTCCTCATCCTCCTCCTCATCTTCTTCTTCGCTCTCGAATGGATCACTTGTGTACCCGGCGCTTGGGTATCGAGCATTGGCACTGGGATATGTTCCTTTGCTTTGGTGTAGGCGTTCAGGGGAGGACCTAGGATACGTTGAGCTCCCAAACTTGGGATGATAACATTCTTCAACTCTGCGCTGCAGTAGTTTCGCAGGCGGAAGGCTCTTGACTTCCATAACTGGCCGCTTAGTGACGAGGGGGCTGCTTGATGCGGACACTGGTCTGGATATGGGAGGTGTCGTTACAGGGTCCTCAGCATTCATTCTTGTCAGGCGATGCCTGTATGGCGTCTTGCTGCGGCTACTCGCGCTGAAGCTGGCCGACTTCTGGCGCACGAGTCTGCGTGGCAACTCCGGCGTATTCTCCATTTCCCGTGAAGATGTCGTCCCGTGGTTAGAGCTATCAGCAGCAAGCTCAGTCTCGTTCGATTCAGCCGCCTTGCGCCAAAAGCGACTGGTCCAGTCCAGCGGAAGCTGACACGACGGGAGTGGTGTGCCGTCCCCATCAACAGTGCAATGGCCGACGAACTTCGACGGCACAAACGTGCTCGTCTTCACGTCCACAGTTCCTGTCAACGCAGAACAAAGGTAAACACGAAAGAGTAGCATTAGATTGTGAGAATTTGACATATGCATCATGGCCTCCTACGTATTCACCATCATGGCCTCCTACGTATTCACCCTCAACTCGCTGATCTTGCATCTCTCAACCGTACAAGTCCATATGCTGAAAATGTGTCTATGTCTACAGGAAAAAAATGGTCATGATTCGCAAGTCCATGTACGATAAACACGTACACAGTCGTGCCGGAGGTTTTGCCGAAGTCAACAACTTGGCTATGGCGTATTCCCGGCCCCAGGCCGTTACCTGATCATATTTGGCTGATAGTCCTGAGTGAATAATGCTAGCGAGAGTGTATAAGCTTATTTACTCTTGATGCTAGCAGAACCAACAGCTACTAGCGTAGTGCAGCACGATTTGTATGATTCTGCCGATTTCCTGCAATGCTTTTCGAGCTGAATCTGGCAGGTTTTGAGCATCTTCTACAAAGTGATAGTGGGTGAGTATGCTGATGGCGAGATATATATCCGCACAATCGTAATTTTGTGTGATAAATAACAATGTTAGCTAAGCTCGAATTTGCTAATGATTTTATAGGCACAAAATGTGACGATCACTGCTAGTATTATGTCTACCGTAGTGTGTTGTACTTGGTTAGTTTCCTGGGGTATTCCCAACAGATGCTTACAACACCTTGTTGCAGGGTGTAAAGGTATGTATGTAGTGGGTTCAAGGCGATCTGAACTACTAGTATATGTAGCCCCTTACACCTTTTTGGCCAAATATTCGTACTTGTCACTTATATAATATTCGTACTTGTCACTTATATAATATTCGTACTTGTCACTTATATAATATTCGTACTTGTCACTTATATAATATTCGTACTTGTCACTTATATAATCTCTGTTTTGTCTGCAGTAACTACATTCCTGAAGATGGGCCTTGCCCGAAAATTCAAAATTAATAATATTAATATCTCTTTTTCTTTTAGTGATTGGTGTAGCCCAGAGACCGTTTGGAGAGTGTTGTGAAGATGTATGGATATAGTGGATGGCTACAGTGGAGTCTTCACATTTTGAGAAAAGTACATGTAGGGCTAACAATAATTATTATGATTACTTGGAGTGAGGTAACACTCGGGGAGTGCATTCAAATGGTATGCACTAAGGAATGGAATCTACCTTTTCAGATTGGATCTTACCTTCTAAAGTTATTGTCATAAAGCATGGCAACTGTTCGGCTTCCGAGTGGGAAGCTCTCCGAAGCATTGACGGTGAGCCATCACTCTCGTCTGCCGTTAGCGACGGAAACAGATCTGTAACAGATTTGCATCCCGCGCCTGAAGCCTTGGGAGAACGCCGCTTGAGGAAGCGCTTTCGCTGCGCGTGGGCACGGGCAGATGGCGGCGAGTCGCATTCACTGATGTCAAGCTCTCGAGAAAGACGTGACCCAGATGCCTGAACATCATAACATTGGAAGACCAAGTCATAGCACGGATGAATGAAATGTATCATAACAATTTGATCGCATAACTAAGTTACTTCCTGTCCCAGTACTGGCAATGCAGCAGTAGCTCCTGCCATAAAAAATTTAAGGGTCGCTCATCCATGCATACATGCATACAAGGTACTACTAGTAAACGGAACAGGATCCATTCCGTGGACACAGTTCGAAAACGATAGTTCTAACGTTGGTAACATAAACAATAATGAAGAATAGGGGAATAGGACACTACCAACCGATGATACCGCCAGACAGGGAAAGCCTGATGGTATAATCGTAGTAGCTGCAAAAGTCGATACCACCGCTCTTCGGGTTCATTTACTACAGTGCTGGCAACTGAAATCCGACCCCCTGAGCGGTGCGCTCACATCGCAAACACTCAGCACGGGATGGTAAACCTACGAAATAGAGACGGCTAGAATGTGAACCCACCGCTCAGGGGGTCGGATTTCAGTTACCAACACTGTAGGTCATTGAAAAATACATGATTGTGTGCAGCGGTTTTCGTGCATATAAGAACTGACCTTTAGCGCGTCCGTAGAGTTGACCTGGTGAACGTCTGGTGAGCCACGCATGGTGATCACCAAGTTTTCTTGAAGATACTACTCTACCAAGGAGAAGTGTAATGATCGGATCTGCGATGTTGATCTTTGCACAACGAGCATCAGTTTGTTCTGCAGGACAACTGACTTCAGACAAACACCTTTATTGATTGGAAGCTCTGCACATGCATCTCAGCTTAGCAGGGTCTGTTGTGATGCAGCATCGTGGTTTGACAAGTCAAGAAAACGATCGCTTCCAGAATGTAAGCAGCTCCGCATCGACCCTGGCCAGGCGGATGCGACCGAGAATGTGTTCTTTGACAGGCGAATAGACAACAGAAGGGTGTATTTTTAGCTCGCGCTGAGTGCCTTAGGCCTTAGGCCTAGCCAGCCCTGGTCTGGTAGCACTAGCCGTCCTCTTCTTGTTATGTGAATGAATGCTGGGTGCTTGTGTTAGTCGTCCCGCTCGAGTTACTCACGACTGACAGCATGACCGATTTTAGACGCCGTCCAGCTGCTGTTAGGAGGATCAAAGAAGTTGTTCGTACCCCTCCAGCGTTGCCAACGACAAACATTCGGGCGAACTCGTGATTGGCAGTCTCGCGGTCTGTAATAAGTGTCAGCGTGGAGGACTAGTAAGTGAGGGAGCTACGCCATATAATCATGCTGTGCACAGACTCAGTCTTCTACTCATTGGCATTCACACATTGAGCCTGGCTTGGCATTAACACACACCAGGCCTGGGTTGACATTAACACATCGGGCCTGGCTTGGCATTAACACATTGGGCCTGGCTTGGCTGCATGTCGCCGCTGGGACAATCGCGCCCTGGACCCCAACACCGCATCAGACCTGCAAATGGAAAACTGTATCTGTGTTCAGGCTTGCAGGAGGTGACCTAGCGTAAGGATGACAGTCTGTGATGAATTGGCGGGGTAAATTCTAAGCTACAAGGATCTGTACCAGAACCAGAACCCATAGAAAACATGGACATGTAAACCAGCTGAAAAGTTAGACCAAACGCCGGTTTACGTCTCTCGAGACAACCGTAACACATATATCATAGAATAGTGTTTGATGAGTACTTGCTGTACCGTGATGCGTGCATGATAACTTTCGTTTTCTGTTGGGAACTTTATAGGGCGTTCACCTGGCATGAATGGGGAAGGGGTCCATCATGATCAGGGGTATCCATCCCATGCAATACTAGTGCCTTTCAGGACATCTCTGTGTAGCAACACCATCAAGGGCATGTTGTGTGAAGTGCTGGTATATGTACAAGACAAGGCAGTCCGGATGGCATGTGCATTGCTGAGAGCGATCTCCTAATGAAAGGAAAATGCTGACAAATCCATGATACTCTTATGCATAGTCGCCAGGGCATCGTGTCTATTTGGAAAGCATTGTTCAACAATTCAAGCTGTCTTTCAGCGCCTACAAAACGTCATTTGATGGTGTTGAAAGGGAACAAAATCTGAAGAAAAATACCGTAACTGTCACCACCCGGACTCGAACCAGGGACCTTCGCTATTGACCAGCGATGCTCTAAGCACTACATAAATTATGGTGTAGCCATCATCCCGGAAGAGACCGTTCAACGTTGAATTTCGTTTACAAGGACGATAGATCTACGGGAACGAGTCATGATGTTTGTGTGGGCGGGCAGGTATATGTACATGTGAAAGCAGTCATTATCACAGTTGTAAGACACTAGACAGATATATAATATATATTATATATATATATACATGTACAAACTCATACCTGGACATGTACATTAGATATTATTGTCGCGTTTGTATGCCAAGCGCGAACCCGTGCCATTGTTTGCCATTGTATACATGCATGTTTGTTAATTAGCAGCCTGTAAGAAGACCATAGGGTCTGTCGGGAATGCTCAAGTACTCATACAATTTAAAACTCGGATGTTGAGCCAATAATAAATGTAGAAAGTTGATGTAAAGATGGAGAGTAATTCCTAACTCGTATCAATATGTCCTTTTCCTTTCTACATTTAATCATACAATACAAATACAAACTTAGAACCTCGTTGGAGCAACTAACTTCATGAATACAAATACAAATACAACAAAAAAGATAGTATTCGAGAACAGTCAACGTTTGAAACGTGTATCGACTGCAGGAACATGCCGAGCAGGTAGCCAGATGCACAGCGGTAGAATGGATCACTTCCAAACGTATGACGCGATATCAGGTTCAGCAATCTCAATCTCTGTTCCTGGTGTAATTTTAATTTCTTCAACTCTTGAGGCCGCTGGCGTCGTGCCCGCCGCGCGTAATACTACTCATGTACATGTAGTTTGTGTCAACATCAGTGTCCATTGAGCCATGCTATAGGGCGTATTCGGAATCAGTGAACGGGTTGTTGCATAACTGCCATTATATTTTCCCTTTCACACCTTCGAATAACTTATGGTTTGCCACAGTGAGCGGGGATGTTACATTTGCCTTGCTTCAATGATCCGAGACGACGTCCCTTGAGATTGTGCAGTCCGCTGTGATCGAATCTACCACACCCCAGTGAAGTGCTCTGAAGTAAATGTCATGATTGACGGTTCATTGACGGAGGCTTTGAAAGCTTATCCACATATCAGCCGCAGTGCATGTTTTACACTAGCGCATTCACATGTGCATTGCAAATCACGTGTCATTGCAAATCACGTGTCATTGCGTAATCTGCCTATCACTTTGTAGCGCCAGCATTGCCCAGCACAGAGCAATCCCTAGGATGTCAAAGTCCGCCTACATGCAAACGAAGAACATTGTACTGTGCGCACCCCGACTCGTGCAAGGGACTATGGCGCGCCACATCATGTGTACCATCGGCAGTTTTGATTTCCTTCAGCTGAATAGGGCGTCGAATGCGTCTCCAACGGATCTGGGCCAGAGTCGTAGTTTCAGTGAATTCCCAAACCTAATTCCGGCATCTATGAACATGTATGTTAAGCAGATTAAGGCGCACTGCCTCTGAACATGTATGTTAGGCCGATATGAAGGGGAAAGGTCTGAAGAAAAGTTGAATATCCTACACCATTAGACCTCGAAGCAAGCCGGAAAATCATAACAGTTACGCAATCGACGTGTGACAGTTACGCTTCCTTCAGAAGAAAACATCAGAATTTGTTCAAACGAAGAGTGAGTCCCCAACTCATTGATCGGCGTTGTGCCTCTCATTCATTTGTTCATACGCAGGAATCGCAAGTCTCTACGTCATCTGTGACGGCTCAGAATCACGCATCAGGGTAAAGAACAAAAGAAAAACAATGATTCATTTACGCACTTTAGAACGAAAGTGTGTTTTGAAAGATTTTTTGACAGGCGAGATGCCTTTGGGGAATCCTTTTAAAAAGGATTCCCCAAAGGCATCTCGCCTGTTGAGGAGTCTCTATAAGCAGTGTTATTACAGCTGAGAGATGAGCACGGAAGGGTAAGATAGGGAATGCATAGGTCATAGCATGGAAAGGGAAGGCCATCGCTGGAGAGATATTTGCTGGAGTTGAATGCAGGTACAAGCACTGCATGTACATGTATGTGTACTACGGTGGATATCTATTTCAAAATGTGTTTTCCCGAATTCTTGTACTCCTCCCCCGAGGGCTAGCAAATAAACTTTGGCTAACTAATATCTCTCAGAAAGGGTTTGCCCCCCGGGGGACACTGGAGCTCGCGCTATTCCGCCGACGTCGCAACCACTATTTTCGTAATATCTCTCAATATCCGGATATCTAGCTGTTTTGACCTTGTCAGGTCTCCGCAGTGGAGCTCCGAGTCACCGGACGAAGAGATCGCAATGAACAAGAAGCATATCGAACCGACTCAAAAACATCACAATCAGCGTGCTTGAACTGCGAAAAACACAATGATCTTTGCAGTAACTGGTTACTCGATCTCCTCGTAGGTCTTCTGTACATACATGTACATGTACATGTAGAGCGCAACAGAAGGATTGACCTTCGTCAGTAGCACATGTACATGTATGTGCGGTTTGTGAATGAGAATAATAAACTGCGATCGGATACAAGTATGAATGTTGTTCGCCACTGAAAGTGTATCTTCTTGTTTAAAGGGTAGTTGCGGTCACGTGACAACCGCTCTTCAGCTGCAGTTCACGCCAATAGGTGTTAGGAAGTTCATACCCACCAAGCAGGGGACAAAGCGATAATACCTACATGTAGATAACCGGTGTGCATCAGAGGACGGATTAAAATTAAAGTATCGCACAATACACTTCAATGATTGTATAGCTTTATGATCAGTAAAGAAAAAGGGTGACTTTATGATTAGTTAGTTTGTTTGTTATCACTACGTTTAGTTATGTCGATGTTTTTCTTTGTTCTTCTTCTTCTTCTTCAATGCCCCACCCCACTCTCTAATTAGCACACAACTACATTTAGGTTTTCCCTATTTCAACGCAGACAAAGAAGCAGCTGGTCGGTTGAGTTGCTCTCAGGACTTTGGCACGTCATCTCTACATCCCCTTTCGTCTTGTTTTATGTTACATGTTTCCCAGCAGGGCTGTATTCATAGTAAGCTATGAAGTCGTGTCTATTTCTCCAGTAAGTTTCATCATCCACTTTGATCTCTTTCTCTTTTGGATCGTTTTTTTCTCTGGATGCGTATGGTGTGCTGTGATACCTAGACACCTGTCGGTGAACAATTCGTAGCCCATAACCACTCCTGTATTTGTCAGCCCTTCATCGTCCGCTGTATAGTCCTCCTTGTGATTTGTTGGGTTGCGGAATTAGTGGAAAAATTATAATTCACTGAAGTGAAGGTGCGCGTACACAAAATCCTTTCCTTTCATTTCTCAAATGCGGCTTATCCATTCGCCTTTTCACCATCGGGCCTAGTTCCCGTTTATTTTGCGACAAATATACTCCAACCAACCAAACACTGTACGAACATGAAATTTCAGCACCAGGTTGGCAGTGGTTTTTCAGTTTTAGCCTTCTACGAAGTGTCGAAGCATGTGTTCATGTACCGACTACACCAGCAGTTTGCACAAAGAGAGTACTGTATCTGAGTATCCCTAAAGTCAGCCCTGCACGTCTTGACACTGACGCATCACATGACAGTCAGTCATCATAGGAATGTGTACCCGAGTATTCGGGAGAGCTGGGGACTGGG